AAAAATATTTATACCAAAAATGGAAATGTTCACTGCAACCCATGTGTTTGCTTGGAGAGTTTTGCCTTGTTTTATACCCGTAGCTTTTAATTGTAAATTTAAATCCTGAAATTGTCACATTAAAAAAATTAAAAACGCAAAAATATAAAAGCATTTTTATTATTATTATTATTATTATTATTATTATTATTATTATTATTATTATTATTATTATTGTTATTTTGAAAACTTGACACTAAAAACAGTTGCTGAATAGAATTTGATACATTCAGATTAAATCTGAAATAATAAATTGCTTGACAAATATTTTTTCTAACATTTAATAGCAAAGAAGTGAAATCACTTTCCCACCCGACAAAAACCAAAATGAAAATTAATTAAATTCAATTATATTGAGTATTTTTAAATATGATTGCAGTTAATGCCTTACTTTGTATTGATTTATTTGGTCCCCTTAAGTCATTTGCAACTTGTGGAGCACAACCATAAATGAAATTGAAGAGGTCAAATTAAAATTCATTGTATTTATACCCATTATTGTTATTTTATTGAACTTTAATTATTACTTGAAGGTGTTCATCGAAGCTCAAAATAGTCTAGTCAAATAACAAGTTTCGTGGTTCAAAAATAGTGAGTCAGGAAACAATGTAAGCATTTTTAAAGAATAAAATAATAATTTCAAAGGAAATAGCTTTTATAAATGCATTAATTACGATCATTTCTTATCGTCAAACCCAAACTATAATAAGTGTTCCCAAATTAGAAAGATTGATTAAAAGAGTGCAGAGTAATTAAATTTTCACCTGAGCGGGCTAGTTGAAATGCCCATTTCTTCTTTTTGAAATTCTGTTATAGTATAATAGGTCAATATTGGCAGTGGGGCATTAGTAGCTGGTATTTGGTATTCCCTGAAACTGGATAAAAAAAATGTATTTATGTTGTTGTTTTTCATAAAAATCAGTGACAAAATCAAAGCCAGCAGTCTTCAAAAATTTATTGTTTTGAATTTTATATAATACCTACTATACAAACAAAATTCTCACCTCACAGCATGAAGTTTGTATTGTTATATGGGATACCAATTATATACACATTACAGTTTGCCAACATAAAAATTGTTAATCCTTAGTAATTTCTGAAAGTGACAATATTCTGAAAGTATAAAATAAGAACAGTCAAAATTGCTCTAAAAATTCAAACTCAAACCATCAAAGAAAGGAAATTTCATATTTTCTTAGATCAAGCACCAAAAATTCAAATTTCATACGCAATTCTAAATATGGTGTTCTGAAGTTAAAAAAATGTATACTTACATATTCATCCAGATAATAATTTAAACTAGTAACAAATCATCAAAAAATATTTATTAAAAAAATATATTATTAAAAGATTATATTATTAAATTATATTATTAAAATTATATTATTAAAAAATTATATTAATAATTCCACATTTTGAAAAAAAAAAGTGAGAATAATGAGTTTAGGCAGATAAGGAGGGAACATAATGGTAGTATGAAAAGTTTTAAAAGGTGGGTCGCCGAGAGAGGGAACTAACAGATAATTAAAAATATGTCAATAAAATTAATTGAAAGGAGGCCCAGAAGTAGTGTACATAACCCCTAGTTGATTTGCTCTACACACGCCTACCATAAAAACTCAAATTAAACAATGATAAATCCATAAAATTTGCATGTCTGTTGCAATTAAAACTTTACAGCCTCCAAAAAACCCAATGCGAAACTTTTTTCAATATACATATATTCGAATTGGTTTTTAATATTTTGATGTATAGTCTATCATCTTTAAACACAGTTAAGATAGATAGCTTGGAAAACAAAGGGAATGAAAAATATTAGAAAATACAATTTCAATAGTGACCACCAAATCAAAACCTGTTTGTCCTAAAATTTTGTTCAAATTTTCTGTTCTGAAGAAGCATTATCATACAGTATAACCTCATATTTTGATAAATACATTTTAACATCATCTGTTGGGCACACTTTGTATTTAAATAAGTTTATTCTATTATTATTTGGAGCAGTTTTCAAGAAAATGTCGTTTGAGTGTTTCTAAAAATGCGGAATTTTGAGATAATTTTTACAGAAAAGTTGAGTTTTTGAGAAACATTATCTGACATTATTGAAGGCATATGTACTCATAAATAATGTGAACAAATTGTCATTTATGTAAATGCTAATGATGTGAGACAAGTTAAAAAAATACATTTTTGTAATTAAAAAACAACAACAAATGAATAGAGCAATATGGCGTTTATGTCATCATATAGAGTACATTTAGTACTATTCCTACCAAAAGTTATAAAAAAAACATTTGGAGCCTTTTTGAGAAAATCTAGTTTTTGTAATTTTTTTTAAATTGGACATGTTCGCTCGCAATATTGCGCGAAAACAATTAAAAGTTTTAAAAAATGCACATGATCTTAATGAAAGAACTCACTATGGAGAATATATTTTATTTGAAGGAAAAATTTCCATCTTCAATATTATAGCTGTAGGAAGACGCCGCAAAAAAGTCAAACTTTCGCAATTTTCAAAAATTCATAGTTAACCGTGAAAATTTGACATATGTCACCTTGATAAGTTCATTTTACTCTATTCTTACAAGAAAATTAAAGAAAAAAATCTAGCCGTTAATGAGAAAATTTTGAAAATGTCCGGCAGGCTTCATATGAAGTATGAAGTATATCATACCCCCAAATTTTCAAGAATATTTTTTAAAATCTCAAAATACCGCCATATTGCTCTCTTTGACTCGAGCCCGATGAACAGGGGTGTCTTCAATTTGGAAAAAATCCTACGTATGATTTAGCCAGTAGTGGTGTTCGCAGATTGAAAAACGGACGGACATTTTGCCGTCAATTGGTTTTTCGCTATCGAGGACCTAAAAACGGGGATTCTGGCTACCCCATATGTTAAAAGATTTTCTCTCTTAATTTAGCAACTGGATTTATCCACTTTTTCGTTATCAGGGCCTGGCAATGAATTTTTTTCTACCGAAAATCCGCGGTTTTTTTTTCTTCTTTTTTTTCGCAGCATTACATAACTTTTCCTGTAGTACGTACATTACTCCGAATTATTACTATACTACGTATACGGGAAAGTATCAATTATCATTCAAAGTTACGCGGAAAATTCTCAAAATTTCGAAAAATTGTATGGAAATTATTTCAAAATTTATCTTTATGGAACAGATTAATTAAGGGGGGGGGAATCTGACTTTAATATTTTAGTTGTCGGAAGACCCGAAAATATGTTGATTTTTTCCATTTTCGAAAAATCTGTGTTTTCAACCAACATGAGGCCTACGCCATTCTCTTAAACGTCCAACAACAAAATTTAATCAAAAACGATGGAGCCAATTTTTTGATGACGTCCCAGAGGCTTAATGTGAAGTACCCCCCAAAATTAAAATATGGGTTTAAGATTCAAGGGGCAGCGATATCATGCTGATCGATTGAGGAATATCTATTTTGGAGATAAGCGGCTGAACGGTTTTAGCCGTTAGCATTGGCCACCAACAGACCTTTTGCCGTCAATCGAGTTTTCGCCATCAAGGATCCACAAATCGTTAATTCTGGCTACACGACGTGTTTGAGGATTTTTTGCTAAGTTTAGCAAACTGGATTTATGCACTTTGTTACCAGGGCCCAGCTATAAGAGTTTTTCTGACGAAAAAACACCCCTTTTTCCTTTACAAAACTTACTCTTCTCAAGGCAACAATGTAAAATGAAAAAAAATTACCTCTAAAGGAATTCTCCACCTCCGGCTCTCTCTCAACTCTAGACATTTTAATACAATGTGCGGTAGGGACCAAGAAAACAATCAAGCAAAATCCGGAATTTTCCCCCCTCGATCGCCAATTTGGTCTGGACTAATTTGAGAGAGCTACTAGAACATGATCTAACAACAGTCTTTCACACATCTCTTGGATTGTTTGTTTACTTCTATCTCCTCCAATTATTTCTCGTACATCCGACCTATAATATAATTCATTGAAAATGTTGGTTGACGAGAATGCTACAAAAGTCACTTACCCAAGATACATATTCAGTGTGATGAAACTGGATCTTGCATTCACCCACCGCAGATTCTCGGTCTTTGAAAACGCTTGAAACTCTCCAGTTCCTATCTCAAAACATTCTCACTACACCACTCTCTGTTCTTCATGCCGTGGGTTTTAGTTGCTTGAAATAAAACTTCATACAAATATCTTGCTCTTTCTTTAGTCATATGGAAATTTGCAGAAGCACACTGCAAAACAAACAGCAATAACTCTCAAAATAATGAGCCGACCAAACGGCAAAATTTTGTAGAGCAGTAACAGAAGATGCGCATAGAGGCAACTAGTGGCGGAATCTCGAACTGCCTTTGGTTTGAATGGGATGTCAAATTTTGGAATATAAGGGGTTTGGGGGTGGCGCCCGGTTGCGCCTCGTATTGTTGTACGAAATATCGTAATGTGGCGGAATGACAGACGTTTTGACGTTATCTCTCACGCCCTAACTGTGTAGAGACAGTCCATCCCACACACCTTTCAGTGTACACATTTCGAAGCATTTGCAATTGGGATTGCAAAGCAATTGCAAGGGAATTGGATCTTCCTCACTTGGTAGTCTTTGAAAAATAACACTTTCCTAAGGATTACTTTATGCATATCTTCTCAAACTTTGACTTCATGCATGGCACATTTTCATTATTAGTCAATCAAAATTTTCCGATCATGCAAATTACTTCTTTTGGTTGTGCATCTTTCTTTTTTTCCATTGCGTTTAAGTCATGACTGAAAAATAAAACAGCAACCATACCATCAAGAAAATTGGAAGTAATTAATATTCAAAACTTCTCAACGGAAATTTAATAATAATTTTAAAAAAGTAAACAAGACCAACAAATTTTACTTTACCTTTCAGAATCATAGCTTGTACATTTACAAAGATGAAGCACTTTGGAAGCTTTTGGTAGACTTCTGAAGTTCATTTTTCTCCCTCAAAGCTAAATTTGAAGTAAATATTAACAACACTTTCTCCTAGAAGACAAAATCTTCCATTTCTATACCTAACAGCAGAATGATTTTCCTCAGGTGAGCTGAATTTAATGAATCTTATAACTGTACATAAGTTTTAATTGTAAGAATATTAAGAATTTTTCATACACCAAATGTAGACTTGTTTCACTAACAAATCCATGATGACTGTTGAGACACTTTGATGATTCAATAATTCACACGTACTTCTTTCAAAACTCACAAAACTAAAAGCTACTGCATTGACTTGGTAAATAGGATTTGTTTTCTTCTCCAAGATTAGGTATTAACATGAACACAGTATTTTGGTTGCATTTCTTTAATGCATTTTGTGAAATGTACATGAACTCTTATCTTCAGAAGTCTATGTTTGATAATTTCCTACTGTTAATTATTTATAAACAATCAATTGTCAAATGACTTTCATGCTTTTGAGCTATACACGGGCCACAAGTGATACAGATCTTACCAAATAGAAAGTTCATTTTCCAGGCTAACTTTGCATCACATGCTCAACACTAATTTTCTTTTCAATTAATCAATGTGGATGTGTCAATATCAACCTAAATTTCGTACTGTTAGCAACCCTTTATTAATTCTCGAAAAGACACCAACCACTCATACTTGCAAAACTTCAGTCCAGTCCTAGGAAAAGCATACACTTCTCACCAAATTTTTACAGAAATAACAGTCTAATCTTGCCACTTCACCAAACAGGTATGTCATAGACAGGGAAAAAACATTTTCATACAAAACATGATAATGACATAAGTTGAACTTTGTTCAGGGAGTTATGCTCTACGAGATTGACAATGAACTGACAAACATAATAACAATATTTATATTTGATCAACTACTGCTTAACCATCTGTACAGTTTCAACATTCATTGCATTGATATTTTAACTACAAGACATTCTACTTCACACAAGAGAGACATACAAAACTTGCAACATTACCATACAAACAAAAGAAAGTGTGCCATTTGGACATAATATAAAAACAATTTAATGTCAATCCTAAAACAAAGAGGAGAACGTTTATTTTCAACTGTACACGCAGATACACAATGAATGGAAAGAAGCATGGCAAACACTCATAGGTACAACTACGTCTATAATCTTCGAGTCTGCAAGAAATTTGGAGTCCATCGATGCGCCAATGAGTTACGGGATGAACTTTCCTTTAACTGTTTTTCCTTTGCCTCCATTTGTTCCTGCACATATTGTAAGAAACAAGATATCATTAAAAACATTTACTTTCTTTATATACAACTCATCAGCTCAATTTTATTTTTTACTACACACTCAACAATTTTGTTTAATTTCTTTACAGAAGCTTTGTACATTACATGTCAACTAATTTAATATTGATCTAACTATTAACTTCATATTAAACTTCAACATTTTTATTACATTCATCAATTTATATTACTTCACCTCTCAGTTTCTCAATGTTTTTTGAGTATCCACTACTTTGGGGATTGTCCATAAATTACATAACACAAATGTGGAGAATTTTATTTCCACTTATTTTCATCATTCGAAAAGTCAAACTGAAGTGCATTATATAATAATACATATGATGCATTCGAGGATAATCGTTACTGGTAAAATGTTTGTTAATATGTTCATATAATCAAGTCACAAATGCAGTATATTGTGTAGCAAATTTGCAAAACAAGTTTGAATTTACTATTAATTTCATACTTGTGATGCCTCTGTGTGATTGATGGTCTTGGACATTTCATTATGTTCATTAGTTCTGTAGTGAAAGCTTTAACCCAGGAAGTGCTGTTCTTTTCCTGCTGGCGAGTACTTCCCACTTCCGGAATCTTCCCCAGCGAGGCACCACCTCAGCCAGAGCAAGCTCTAAGCTGCTAACTGGCCTCTATCATGACAGGTAGAATAGTGAATGGAAGTGTGTTTATGTAAGGGAAGAAAGATGAGAAAAAGTTATTTTATTACGGTACTTTTCCGATACACACCAGATAGTAGCGATTAGAGATTTCTTGGAAAACAACAGGAACAATCAGAGCAACTAACCTCTAGAATTCTCCCCTAGAATGTGGGTGATTACATCTAGCTATATAGCTAAAGTAAAAAATCTGTCACTGCTGGGTCTTGAACCTAGGACTTCTTGGTCCTAGGTCGCTGCATAGACAATGGTAATGCTGGCCCTTAGCTAACTCTGTTTCGTTTGTTCTGATGAAATCAAGAGTAGTCAATGAGGTTTGTATTCTTTTGTTAGTTTGCTTTGTTTTACATGTTTAAGTTTTTTGGCACTTGTTTGTATGGAATTGTTATGATGAAATTTAAGTTGTTTTGTTTATTTCAGTACAGAATATTATAAGTGATGTTAAAATCAAAATAAATATTTACATTCATAGCGATTTTTCAATTTATTTCATTTTAGGAACACACACGTTTTAAATCATGTCATATAAATTTTTTTGGAAACTCAAAAGTTTTCTGTGAAAATGAGGTAAAATTCCGCATTTTCAGAAACTATTTTCTTAAAAACTGCTCTAAATTTTTTCTTCAAACTTTATATATGGATAGTGCATTAGCACAGTTTAAGATGACATAAAATTAATTTTGGTGGATTCTGGTTTTTAAAAATTACACTAATGTAATTTTTTTGAAGTAATTCTCATGCCGTTAATATGCACATTTCCAGCATTATTGCATTTGTGAGTGAATGTGCTTCAAAGGACTTCCAATGAAGTTTTTCCAAAACATGAGAGCTTTCTGTGAAATAGAACTTCATATTTTGCATTTACAGCGACTCTTAAATGTTTTCTTTAAAATAGTAGCTCCACATTTTTGAACCAAAATTTCCATATCAGACAAGGATTTACTCTTCAATAATATTCTTACAGTAATATTTCCTTTCTATGATTAGCAAATCGAAAAATTGAGACAATTTCTAAAAAATATTTTTTGGGCATCGATAGATGGCAGCTGGCAAGAGGTTAAAGGAGCGAAATTCTACCCAATACCAAAGACATTCGAAAACTTACCTAGTACTAGTAAATCTGTGCCATTCTGTAGAACCACTAGTTTAATTACATTTGGGGATACCTTATTTGTATTGAATTGTAATGCTAATTTTGATTATTGTACGCTCAAAAATATTTGTGCCAAATTTGGGAATGGCTCCAGTAGTAATATTTTTTGTAGAGATTACATTCCATTGTAAACAATTTCACTTTTATGTAATAGATATTTTCAATTACTACTATTTGAAATCAAACAATATATTTGAAATATAAAATTATAAACGTTACTCTCTTATGCAACCAACAGCATGACATTCTGTATTGGAAGACACCCGAAGATCAATCAATTGCATTCATGTAGAGAAAATGGTTACTATGGCCGAATCATTTGGATAAAAGTAAAAAATGTAAGAAAAATATCACTCGTAAAAAAATGAATTTGTATCATATTTTGAAAAAATACGTTTAAATATTTTGGCAAAAAGCTTAAATATTTCCACTAATCTGAAGATTCAAGTTTTATTGAAGTACAATTACTTTACAAATAATCTCAGTAAATTAGCAATGGAAATAATTTGAACATTTGACATTGAAACACATTTGACATTTAACATTGAAATTTTCATAATGTCAGTATTTTACTCTATTTTATGTACTTCTACTTCCTAATGCTTTACAGGTCTTCCGTGTTTTCGTTCAAGTCATCAGTTATCAATCACTTGGAGAACACTCAATTACTACTAGTGTAACTGAACTGTCGTTTTTCCACCCCTCTGAGAGTTCTAATTTCTGAAAATTGTTAGCTAAAAACTACAAACTAAAATAATGCTATGGATATTTCTTTTGATAACTGTGCTTTCTTTATCACATAATTTAGAGAGTTTCTCTTTAACTTACAATGAGCTTCCTTTGGTTTTCACGGAATGCCTCGATAGGATCATCAAAATTATGATAGTAATCCAAAACTTCTCGAACATCCTCCACTTTTGCAGCAGCTATGGCTATGGAGAAAAACGACATAATTATGATCACTAGATTTTCTTTCAATTTCAGTCAGTCACCACAAAATCAGAAATTTTGTGACTCACTTCTTAAGAAATTAGCCAAATCGACTAGAGTCTGGTCATCATCATTCCCTGCCCACCTTGGTAATAATAAAGTGTTTCTAGGGTGGAACTTGACTGAGTCACTATTCCAATCCACCACAATCACCTGAAAAAATTATAAAAATAACAACAAATACTAAAATTATTTTATGCAGCCATCTCATCAACATGAAAATCAACACTACCTTGCTTAAATCTCGATTCAGTCGATCCAAGTCTTTTACATGGTGTCCATCAACAAAGTGCGTTGCATCTCGAACTAGTCGGTACATAACATACCCGTTTGGATCCAATGCATCCAGAATAGGAAATACAGTCTGACAAAATCAAAGAAATAGGACATGTTGCAAAATTATTTCTTACATCATGAAACTAAAATCTACTAAAATGTGAAGTCTGAAGGCATTTTCTTCAGGTCACATTAAATCTATATTTTGTATGCCAGAATACTTTCAAATTTCTTTGAAACACAATGCAAGTGCAATAAATTTTAGTATAAGTAGGTGATTTATTGCCACATTACCAACACCTGCATAACTGTCAGCTGTTAAGACATCTTTCTTCACACTGTATTCTTTAAATTCTTGGTAGTTAATACAATAATTAATTTTACATTATGGCTATGCAATCCTTATTTAGGTAACTTTATATAACTGTTTTCTTCTTATTAATCAATTCATATTCAAGATGTCACATGATTTTCAGAAAGTATACCATTGGTGATAATTTAACTTACATTAATACTATTTAATGCTACACAGTTTATAATTTTTCTCTTTGCAAGAAAAGGAGTTCATTCACATTACAATTATTTATTTAATTATAAAGATTAACAATATTTAGAAGCATTTACAACATATCAATCAATATTTCTAGTAATAATGATTATTCAAGTTATATGAGCTTATGGAAAAGAAATTTGACAACAAGGAATTAACTGGGAGACTTTAAAAAATGGTCCTCAATTTGCTCCAAACTGTCAAATTTATTTCACAGTAACTTACCATGCCCTGTTCTGCTGTGAAAACTACTATTTCAAATAGAGGGGGTGCTACTTGCTCAAGGAAATGATCCACACCTGGTCGTTTCTTAAATCGCCATCCAGTCTTATACTGAGAACAATTAAAAACATCCTCTTCATTCATATCACCATTTCATATTCAATATGAAAGAATGAAATAAAAAGCCACTTACTGTCCAATCTGGATGAACTAACACATCCCTCAATTCAAGCACCAAAGTATATGGAGGTTGAATATAAGGATATTGAAGTGGATCAGGTAACAATTTGTCTCTTGAAGGTTCTCGAATCATCTAACAAAATATATGACAATATTGTAACAAAATATTGTACATCAATGAGACTGGGCCTATTATACTTCAAAATAACTAAAAGATGAACTTTAAACATCATTGAGGCATCGCACATTTCTTACCCTTTTGTAGTAATCCAATTCCTTCATCATTCGTCCAAAAAATTGTTGTATTAGGGGCTTATGGGTAAATTCATCTTCAATAACATTTCCATTTTCGTCTCTCTTTGGAGATCCTTTATTAAAAAAAGAAAATTAATACCCCACACAAAGTAATCAAAATATTCATTAATAACACAATGAATAATTAAGTACACAATGAAGACTAAGTAGAACCTCAAGTCTACCTAAATCATAGAGAAGATATGATCCCAACAATCCGAACGAAACTCCGAAAGCGGCAAAACTGTATTTCATCATTTTCCATGAGGACTCCCTTCTTTTCCTTTCTTCTTCACTCTCGGTGTCTTCAGAAACTGGAGGCGGTATATGGGTTGCTATAAACGAAATAGTTGGCGCAGACCATAAATATCACTAATACAGGCTAACCTAACCTATGACCAATTAAACTTAAGAAATACCAATACTCTGAGAGGTTATGTTGTATCAACTTCCACAACTATTGTTTAACGTACCATTACTAGATGAGTACCTGCTATACGATAATAATATAATGGGCTGTTTCGCCGTACATTGTTTGTAATATCCTATCTTTCTCACCGCCGAAGTTGTTTTTGTATGTTTCACACAACAACCCACAAACCGCACACATCTTAACGATAGCGCAGCCATCTTCATTCACTGCCAAGGTGTTCTAAATGCCTTTCAAATTGCACAGCTAACTCGCAGCCCATTCGATAATTCTGTACCATTTGGCATATCAGTTCGAGGCAAGGAGTATCGATTTGCTCGTCAGGATTTCATGGAATACCGATTATCCCAGAGTAGACTACTCGTCGAGTACTCTCGAGTGCTACTCGAGGGACTCGTGCCTGAGTCAGAGAGTATATGTTGCATGTTGCAGCACATATAAGTTTGACAGCCTTAAGGGGAATGGAGTAATGGAATAATGTGAATTGCGTAAAAGAGTTCGTTCTTTCGTTCATCTCATCTCAAAAGAGTTAGAGCAAATGTGATGTCAGTTATCCAGCAGGTTAGCGCCAGTTAGGTTAGAATCATCAAGAAATTCGTGGAATTGAGTTCCGGCAAGTTGTTCAAGAAGAAAAACATCCTTTTTACCCTAAAAAAATGTCATGGATAACTGCGACTCCAAGGTAAACAAGTAATAATTCACATTGCCTATTTCAACTTCTTGTGTCTATGAAACAACTGCTGAATTGTACACTGAATTTCCTTCAGGTTGCAAAGAGCTGTGGAAATTATCAACAATCTTGATTCATCAAAATTTCCACTTCTTTTAAATCGAATTGCCCAAGCTCTACAGGCAGGCTCTGGAGGAGGCAAAGTTTTTACAGATGAAGAGGAAGAAAAACTGCAAGCGTCACTAAATTTAGATCATGACAGTCTAAAATTGTTGTTGGAATCCACATCGTACATTATAGAACAAGTAAGTTAATATGGTCTACACAAAATACAAAGTTATTCTGTATATTTCATTATAAATTATGTACAGGCTGCCTACCACATGACTAAACCAGCAGTATTCCATCATTCTCTTCTGGAGACACTAAAAATGAATAAAGATAAAGCACAAACTTTTGTAAATACTTGGTCTAATACAGCAAAAGGAATTGTGGAGCAACTTAGAAAAAAATCTCTTTTTCCTGCCCAGGTGAGTCCTTGAATGCTATGCAAGTCTTTGAATGTTATGAGAAATAAAATGCAACAAAATAAAAATCTTGAGTTTTCTATTTTTCAGTTGGAGGATATAAAATGGTCTTTAAGGCTTCAAACATCTTCCTCTACTCATGGGAGGCAAGCAGTTCCTAAGGCAGTGTTTCAGTTTGGAATAAAAGAAAATGATTCAGTGAATAATGTCACTGTTGACTTCAATCATAATGAACTATTTGAATTTTACAAGAAGATTGAAAAAATTCAAGCTCAATTAGATAATTTAAAATGATGTAATGAATGTTCTAAAGCACTGGAAAGAAATATGCTGACCTAGAATCAGTTGTTAATTTTTCATACTTTTTGTAATTATTTTGTTTAAAACTAAATGCAAAATTTCAGAGCAGAATTTGAAAAGTGAAATGCATTGGCTGAATAGTTGTTATTAATAACAAAAACAGATATTTAACCCTTTGACTAGACTTTGCTCTAGACTAGTTAATATGCAAAATATTGCCTGAGATCGTATGCAGAACCGTGATGTTCTGGGAGCCTTTGGACAAGTTCACCCATAAAACATGCTTTTGGCTATCGCTAGGATAGATGTTCAATAACTGAGATGTCTTATGCATTATCTATATGGGAACAAGCTCAGCACACGAGTGGCCCGCAGTGAGAGAAGCATGACGCAAGTTACATGACGTTTGCATGGCTTGTAGTAGTTAAAGGGTTAATTAAATCAATGTAAAAAAATATATTTGTAGTTGTAATCATAGGAGTGGATGTAATGTATTAAGTGTTACCAAAATGTTTATACTTTTGAAGGAAATAGAGTGCATTTGAAGACAACCATTTTAGAAAATCGATATAAAAATGGAAGATAAAAGTTTAATTTTCATAATAGTACGTTTCTGTATTCTGTAAATTTCACAATACAAATATTTACATTATTAGGTACTATTTACAACCAAGAACGCTTGACTTTTTTGTTTCCCAATTATGCCATAAATATCTCTGTTGCAAAGAAAGAGCACTTTGAAGAATGTATTCACAAATTAAATACTACAATAATCACAACTGCATAAAAACAAAACTTAAATTCAGTATCATCTTTTGAGGAGCAAAATAAAATGGAAATTAACATAATACACAATAGTCACAACAAAATTTTCTTTAAGGTAGAGACTATTTCATGTGTCCACTGAGTCATTAGTTTTCCTGTTCATCGGTATGTTTTTTTAAAGTGTTTTTCATCTGACATCTTTCACTTCTATCACTGTTGTTTTCTGAGCATCGACAGACGGAAAAATGCTAGCAGGGTCAGGAACAGAAGAATCCACAGAACTTGCACCAGCAAGCAGCATTGACAGACATCCCTGAAGGTTGGCCAAGGATTCTGATAGATGTTCCTCTTCATGCACTCTTTGTGTCAGTCTTTTCAAAAGTTGACTTACAGTTAGATCAGTGGTGACCAAAGGCGAGTCCTCGTACACATCTGAAATTGAAAAGGATGCGGAATGCTTAACTGAATATATTCATGCACTTGAAAAGCATGAAAAATCACATCACCGAAGTATGCTTAAGTGATTCTCTACTGTCAAAACCTAAAAATGTAAATGAAGTGCCTAACCTACTTACAACAATCGGTGAAATAGACATTTTTGGTTGGATAATGATCAAATGTTAGAGTCCAATTTGCAGGGCAAGGTGTTACTTCTGCAATTTTTCTTGACCAGATTAGTGGGGGTATAAGTTATGAAATCAGCCACTAGACTTTATGAAGCAATGCCAATCTGGAGAATCAATCACACCTTCGCAACTTTCTCAATAATTTGCATTTAAAATTTTTCAGGAGTTCGAGGTATATCCTGAGATGGATCTTCACTTGCTTTGGTCATTTCAGATTTATTTGAGGAAATCACAGACAAAAGTTCTTGTCTTCTGCAGAAAATAGTTTCTATTTTGCACCAGTGAAGACTGTGTTTGGAATGTTCTTATCAATGCTCACTGCGGGTTTTTGCCTGTTTATTGTGCAAGAGTCGGAAGCAAGGTCATTGGTCAAGAAAAGTTGCATGACATGGATTCTGCAATATAAACCCACAAAACAAGTGACTGTACAGTGGTTCTCAAAGAACATCTGTCAAGCTGTTCAAAGAGACATTTTCTTTCAGAGAATATGAAAATTCATTCAATTAGAAACAAACCTACACTTGAATCAAAAAAATTCCATTTTCGGTTTGTGGTCTAGTTAAAAAATGTGAAATTGAAAAAAAATACAGTACACTGTACAAGTAATGAGCTGATCAAAGACATTTCCTAGCCTTCACAATTTCACAGGTATGGTTGTGTAATGGAAAATAGTCACGGAACTTACCTAGCAATATATCTGCAACATTTATTAAAATTTCAGTAAAGCGATAATCACCCAAATATTTAATCAAAAATCTAAGAATTACTGCAAGGGATTTTCCTTCACGACCTGCCAGTGCATTTTGCAGGCCCTTTCTCCTGCAACAAGCAATTATTTTACATCACAAATATTATGAGATCTTGGCAAACCTTAATACATTTCACATCTTTTTACTTACTTCATCAGTTCTCGAAAGACGGCTACAGTTCGAGCTGGATGTTTCTTTGTCACATAGAGCGATAAGACACTGTCAAGAGCTTTGGAATATTCAAACTTCCTAAAATACTGGTCAAACTTGCTCATAGCTTCAAATTCTTCTTGCTCTACAACTTCATCTACCTCAGCAGGCTGAAAATTATCAGGTATGTATCGATATGACACTCTCCGTTCTTGTTTGGGAGGTTTCTGTCCTTTTTCTTTTTGTGTAATTGAAACCAAACCATCAACCATTCCCACTGCTATTGTTTCATCACCAGGCTGAAAGTAAAAAGTAGTGAATACAGAAAAGATAGTGTTTTGAATATCACTAACAGAACTGTAACTAATACTTACGCTCACTCCAAGACTCAAAATAGAATTAGGATAATCCAAAGTATGTACTACTTTGTAGGAGGCTACATCATATATTTTAACATGCCTATCCAGTGATCCAGACATGATTCGTTTATTATCTGATGCCAAATGTAGGCAGGTCACAGTCTTATGATGCTGTGACAACTTAGCAAGAAGTCGACCACCTGCCAGTGCATCCCACACGCGAACCTCAGTACCACCTAAAGAGCAAAAACAGAAACATCTCAAAAACACTAACTGTGAACCACTTTCCTTTGTATTATTCATAAATTGAGATGTACAGTTACACGTGTCTTCATTGATTCCTTATATCTCTATCATGTTTTCTCTTTCCCCCAAGAAACACTTAATTTTGTTGACATAAAATTGTCCATTATTGGATTAGGGGCCATCCGAAGAAACATGTAACAAGTTAATGACTCTGTTGTGCCATGACAGTCTGTATGTAAGCCATCAAAACAATACATTCGCTTTCAGGAAGAGTCCACATTGGTGACAAATTTGACACACTTCCTCCTCCCTTGTTCAGTTAAATATGAGCATTTTCACAATATTTTTAAATGACAGTAGATATGAGAGAATTTTAATGCCATTAAGCACCTTTTTATTTTGATATTTAATATGGTTATACAGTGAAATCTCTATAAAACATTTTTAAGAGACCATGAATTCTGAACACTATATAGAGGAAAACATTAAAGTGAAAGACAGTGTATATGGGCTTTTCGTTGGGACTGGAAAACATTATAAGGCAGTTTCACTAATATCTGAGCAGCAGGATGTGGTGTCATTTTCAAATGGTTTTGAATGACTTTAACTGAGAGCTAACATGGAAGCAACATCACACAAACAAACAACTGTCAACTCTGCTGTATATCGAACTTCAGCTCAAAAAAGAGAGCATGTTTAGATCAAAGCAAATTTTTTGTTTTCGAAGCCCTAACTATGTAGTAATCAATTTACAGAGGTAAATTAAAAGCAGTGCATACAGAGTTATCATAAATATGACATGATAAACTCATCTCCCAATTCTACTCTATTATAAAATTTATAAATTGAAAAATTTCTAATTGCTAAAATTACCTGCAGAGAGAAAAATACCTCCTGAAGGTAAGAACATGACACATTCCACAGGTGCTCCATGATCCACTTTTAATGCAGTAACTTTCATTCTTGAATCATACATACACACAGCACTGTCATAAGCACCAGACAGCACAATATCAGATGACACTGGTGACACAGTACCACCACGTACGTAATCCTAAAAGAATTTGATTTAATTAATTGAAACATATTAGAAATTGAAACTTAATGGTTCATCTCTATTACTACTGTTAGGTAAAGATATCCCTTGTGCAATTGCACACAGGCCGATGTGGCCAAAAATTATCAATAAAATTCACTTAGTCTCACTTCACTCTCACTTCAGTCGCATTGATCGGGAATATCAATTTTGGTGAAAATCCTACTTGCATTTTACCCACTTGAATTGAATTAATGCCTTATTTTACTTGCATTGTTAAAAGACAGACATTTTGCCATCATTTGATTTTCTGATATTAAGGACCCACCAAAAGATTCATACTTCACTTGCTAACGGAAGTTATGTGCTACATACGAGAACAAGATTAATTCACATTTTCAATACCTGAGCATGACAATAAGATTTTTTCTATTGAAAATTTGCCTTTCCCCCCACTGCATCATTACAATCCTTTCTCTAGGCTACATAAGTAAAAGCAAGAAAATAAAAATTAAGAAATATGAACATGCGTGTGAAATATATAAGTATATGTATCAAAAGACAAAGCTTTTAAGTATTCTGTGACAAGAATCATAAACTTGACACAGTTACCTCATACACTTGAATAACTAATGTCACCAAATCATTCCATCATCATCAACTGACCAGAAATTAGGCTTTACAGCCAGTTTCTATTGGTTTGTTACAGTATTATCAATAAATTATGTCTTCCAAATGTTCCTGCTGTTGCTGCCTCTTTAGTGGTCTGCCTCAATCTCTGATTACTAATCCTTTGTACTTGCAGACTGATTTTGGAAATCAGTTGTTCATTCTCTGTAAATAGTCTTTTTATATCCATTGAGATTGTTCTATCTCTTTCACTAAACTTTTGGTTTTCAATTTCTTTCTGATGCACTGCACCCTAATGATCACTAGTGGCAAAGCTACAGGTGTTAGATTTTTGAATACTTGTTCCATAAATGTACAATTCCAGCACTCAAAAGTGAGTAAAAACAAAATTAAAGGTGTGAAATAAATTTCATTAATTAGTAAAAATTAATATTTGAATTGATGTATGCTGAAATTATCATAAATTGCAAATCATAGATAAATTAAACATATTTCTAATAATTATAGAATCCTTTAAAACAAACATTCAAACATACCGTGTGTTCAGTGAAAGATGTAATCCTTTTCTCACTTGGAATGTCCCACAGAGAAACAGTTTTGTCGTCAGAGAAACTAGCAATATGGGTTTTATCTGATGTAAAAAAGCAGCGATGCACAGGTCTGTAGAATTAAATTTGGTTAAAACATGAAAAGAACTTCAGATTCTGCATCATACTCAATAACGAGGGATGTGTAGCCCATGTATAAAAAAAATTTAATAAAAAAAATGTAATAGTAAATATAAAAGATAAAATTTCTGCTTTTGGATGGCCAACAGACCCAGTCCACTGAGTTTATCATATAATAAACATTTTAGCTGTCAATGCAAACAAAGTTTTCAGGCCCATGACAAGAATAGAATTTGCCCCCTTGTCAGGTTACTTCAAATTAGGGTTGTTCTTATTTGCTTTAGCAGGTGTACTCAAAATAGTACACATTGGGAGTGATGCCCATGGCACGTGCCATGTCTGCCCACCTCTGGATATGCTTCTGTTTGAAAAAGTGAAAAAATAAAATATCTTGCTTACTGCCACTAATTAAAACTCAAATCTTAATATATAAAGGCTCATGAGCCTAACGTTTTTGGTACCAACTGTGAAGCCCCAGACCACCTACAGAGGTGGTTAAGGGCTTGTTTGAAACTTTGGGGAGCTCTTTAAAATAATTCCTCATTCCTCACATAAATATTGTGATCACAGAAATTTTGGAATCATTAAATTAGACTGCTTAAAAAAAATTAAAGAAAAACCAAGTGCTTTACATTCGATCATGTGTGTGAGCAAACATTCCAATATTGCTCAGCATTGACATTGAATTTCACAGAAAATAAACTGATCACTTTCATTTTATAACAGAATATTTCTTTCATAGTCATTAAATTTATTTTCCAATAGATTTCAAGTTACTGCTCATATCTGACCGCCCAAGATATTGAGTAGGGTTCCCCAGAAGAGAGAAATGTCCAAAAAGTTGTAATTTAGTAAAATTCTGCTTACGAAACTAAACTTGTTCCCTACACGAAAGAAAGTTTGAAGGGACTAGGACAAATTGTTTCTAAGTTAAGCACTACTTTAATGTGTGTTGCAGTAATTTATTCCCCCAAGTCATAGGCTGCAAACCATACTTCTATTTTTCATATTAAAATCTGTTAGTTGTAGGACTGGGGAGTAATTCTCTATCCCACAGTAAGAAGGTTTTGCAACTTATACAGTTCAACGTTTCTTATAAATGGCAAAAAGACCTTCATCTACTCTTTATTTGTTATAAATAGAGTTTTAGTACAACCTTCAAAGATACGAAAGAAGCATTAAGGCAAATACTGAAAGAAGCTAAAGGACAGGTTTGGAAAAAAATGAAGGGAAAACAAAATATATGAGAACAATCAAAAGCATCAGTAAAGCAAAATATATTAAGCTAGGTGTAAAAAATATTGAATGTGTTAACTCTATCAAGTACTATATCTAATTATGTTATACAACAATACTTTAAGAAGAGAATAGTGGGAGGTAATAGATGTTAGGCAGCCTCAACCAACTCTTTAAAATAAAAAGACTTTAAAGGTCACCAAGTTGAAACTACACAAAACCATCATTAAGCTGGTGGTGCTGTACTGCAGTGAAACTTAAGACTTTAAAAATAATCTAGCTGAATGGGAATGTACAATTTTACATAGAATTTTTGGCCTCACCAAAGAAAATGAAATCTGGAGAAATTAAATACAAACAATTGCAAGAGCTATTTTAAATCACTCAAAATAGTTACATATATTAACCCTCAATAGGTATGGTGGGGGTCGAATCCGGTGTCGGGTGATCAGGGAACCCAATCAGCAAGTCTTCTGGACAGTGTTGGCACGGTCACATTGGTACAGGTGAGTGACCTTGACTTCCCGCCCTCTATATTCCTGCAAGGTGGCACATTGTAGATTGCATCCGACCTGACTGTATCATTAATGCAATAGACTTGTACCAAACACTTTCTTTCCTTTTCTTAGTTTTAGCCAACTTCCTTATTCACAAGAAATTCTAGCGGATTTGCTACGTCAACTGTCAGCATCACAGAGTGAAGAGGGCAATTCTGGCTGTGAAGAAAATGTTTCGGAATCAGAGTGAAACTCGCCTGAACCATGTCCTGCCTCTTTCTTTCGACGTAAACTTAATTTCCTTCTTTTATTTTGTGATTTACATAAGGAGACAAGACTAGAATTTAATTTTTTTTGTTCTTTGATATGATTTTGGAGATCACTAAGGTCTATAATGGTACGTTTTATATACAAGTTTGGTTTTGTTTTTACTATTTTTTTTTAGTTATTCTAAGTACATGAATAACATTGTCTAATGTTTCGAATATTTCCTTGGTACTTTTTATCTGAAATATTTGGGGAATATATTCAGATATCATCATTGTGCACGAAAAGTGTGTTTTATACATTTATTTCTTTTATAAAAAGTAAATATGTTTTTCAAAATCGTATGAAACTGTTCTGATTTTATTTTTTATTATTATTATTATTATTATTATTATTATTTATTTATTAATGGTGGCAGCAACAAGCTGTCATGCACGAATCTTACAACAGTGTAATGAAGTTATACAATAAATCACTTTCATAGAGAAACAATGTTATAAATAAATCACAATTATACATCACAGATATTACATGTATTCTTGAAGGTGTTCAGGATTTTCCATTGCATACAGTGAGCAGGAAGTGAATTCCGTGGATTAACTACTTGGTTTACAATAAAATAAGAATATTGTCCTGTCCTTCTTCTTTCTTTCACTAGTTTTATTGTATGTCCTCTAAGTCTAGATTTCATGGCTTCACTAAAGAAGTTGTTAAATTCAGGAATGTTATAACATCCATTCAAGATTTTAAAAGTTTCTTCAATATCACTCTTATTTCTTATCTGTTCTAATGTCAGAAGTGATATTTTTCTGCATCTTCCTTTGTAATCCAATTGACGTACTTCTCTAGAGATCTTGGTAATCTGCCTATGTACTTTTTCAAAATGTTTTTTTATCTTTTTGATAATAAAGGGACCAAACCACATTAGCTAATCTAGTATAAGGCTACTATACATCAGTTTTACCGTAGATGGATGCAATGTAGAGAATGTATTTCTGATCAGATATATTAGCTTATTGACTCTCTTGGTAACAGCAACAACTTGGTTAACCCATTTCATATTTTGAATGATAAGAACGTGAAGATCATTTTGTTCTATCGTAGAATTGAAGGTATGACTTTCAATGCTATAATTTAGATTTGGGTTATTTTTTCCTGGATGGAGGACTATTGGAGTTTAAAGTCAGCAACCAAGATTCCGATCATCTCACTACTTAGTTGACGTAATTTTGTAAAATTTAATAGTTTTTTAGTGGATTTGAGAAAAGTTTGGTGTTGTTTGCATAGCAGTTCCAACTGGAAGTCAGATTGCCACCTAGGTCACAAGTGTAAAGGATGAAAAAAATCGGGCCTAGAGCTGATCCAAATGAAGAAAGAGCAGTTAGGAATATATACAGTAGGATTTGAGATTAGAAGAAATCAAATACTACTAAACAACAAAATAACACTTACCCACGATGTCCCTTAAAAACTCTCAACAAAGTTTTATTCTTTATCTCAAATAATTTGATGTGACCTTCTTCCCCACCTACACACAACAACTGACCATCGGATCTGAATGCTGCTCCATAAGCAGCTTCTCGAAACCTACTCAGATTTTTATATACTTGCTTCGTCACTGGATTATATACTTGAACCTATTAATCAGTAAAAGTAAAGATATTTATTGAAGTTGTGCAGTCATCCTACTATCAAAAAGATTTATCGTTTAGTTTGTCTTACCCGAACAGAACATGTTAAAGCAAAATAATACGGCTGCACAGGAGAAAAGTTAATGTAGTCAATGGCACCAAATTCTTTAAGAAGTACAGGAGGCTGAAATAAGATTCTTATATTATGTACATACACTCAAATATCAAACCAAAACAAATAAAAATATGCACATATTTTTTACCGAAAACTTTTTCCAATAAATCGTATCCGGGGTGACTTGGGGACCCGGTTTTGAGTAAATGTTTACATTTGTTTTTTTAAACGGTGGCATTTTCACTAAGTAATAACCAACTAACACAAATAACTTCACTTTTTCTTCTTCACGTAGCGCATAACCTGCGACAACACACAACCAGTGATCTCAACTATATAAAGCAATTAGTTATCTTCTGAAACAATAAGTAATATATTCAGTCCACTAGAGAGGATATCAGTAAGTAGAGCTTACAGCACACAACATAACCAACCAACGTGGTCGAGTCTTGTTGATCACAGGTTGAGCATGAGCATGGCGGGCGATGGTGACGAGTGGTGGACATGTGGTGCATGAAAAACAAATGAAACGTGCTTTACGCATTTCTTGCATGGTGTTCCAACGGGGTGCTCGCCAGCCGTGTTTCGTGTGCTTCGCGCTCTATGATACAGTCTGCCTGTGACATTAATCTATATACGTGAGCTTTATCAAACAACATTTTGTGATATTGACATTTTTATTTTTCAATAGCACTTGAAAATGGGGAAGTTAAGCGTAGCAATGCTTAGATACTTGACGAAAGAAGATTTTCGAATTCTCACAGCTGTAAGTCCTAATATATTTGTTTCTGAAAAACTTAATCACATGTTAAATGCTATTTACTTTTTTTATTGTCCGTAGATTGAGATGGGAATGAAGAATCATGAGTTGGTCCCGGGTTCTCTTGCCGCATCTATTGCCAATCTGCGTCATGGAGGTGTACATAAACTGCTGAAAGAATTGTGTAAACATAAGCTTCTGAGTTACGAAAGAGGAAAACATTGTAAGTGGAGAACAATTCTGTAATATTTAATAAATTTTATGTTTCTGATTCTCAATTCTTTATTTTGTTTAACAGATGATGGGTTCAGATTGACAAATGCAGGTTATGACTACCTTGCTTTGAAGACTCTTGCAGCAAAAAATATAGTTGCTGGTTTTGGCAATCAAATTGGTGTTGGTAAAGAGTCCAATATATATATTGTGAATAATGAAGAAGGGGAATTATTATGCCTAAAATTACATAGGTATTATACTATTTTATATTTGCTCTTTGTGAATATACAGTACTTATTGCCTTCAATTCCAAAAAAAACTTTTTGTAGGTTGGGCCGTACCTGTTTTCGCAACTTGAGAGAAAAACGAGATTACCACAAACATCGCAGACAAATGTCATGGTTATATCTTTCTCGCATATCTGCTACTAAAGAATTTGCATATATGAAAGCTTTGAGGGATAGGGACTTTCCTGTTCCTAAGCCAATAGATTTTAACAGACATTGTGTTGTAATGGAGTTGGTTCAAGGGTATCCCTTGTAAGTAAATGTTGGGGACTTTGCTCCTTGCTTGTTCTATTTTTTGGTACCATATTTCACATATTCTTCTTCAGATGTCAGGTACATGATGTGAAGGATGTTGAAGCATTGTATGATGAACTAATGAATCTTATCGTGCGTCTGGGAAATTATGGTGTCATACATGGAGACTTCAATGAATTTAATATTATGCTTACTGATGAAGATAAACCAGTAATTATTGATTTTCCCCAAATGGTATCCACGTCACACCTTAATGCGGAAATGTAAGTAGTTCAGTTATATATTTTTTTTTTCCTTTGTATTCCTTTGCTTTAATAAATTCTTCGTTTTTAGGTATTTTAACAGAGATGTTAATTGTATTAGAGATTTCTTCAGAAGAAGATTTGGCTATGAAAGTGAATCATTTCCTACTTTTAATGACATTATGTGAGTAGTGTGTTAAAAAGAAATTTTAAAACAATTACCAACCATAAATTACTCTAAAAAATATTGAGATTTACAATTTTGCGTTTTTAGGAGAGAAGATGCTCTAGATGTAGAAGTTTCTGCTAGTGGATTCACTCGGGAAATGGAAAAAGATCTGTTTGTGGAAATGGGTATAGAAGAGGAAGTCGAAACAGAGGACGAACTAACTGAAGAGAGGTCACATTTGGCTAATGATGACATTGAAATGCTTCGGCAAGAGGTTGAAAGAATGGTCTGTGCAGAATATGAATGTAAGGATTTAAAGAAACAAATACATTTTCAAAACGATGAGCTTGTGAAGTATGATGAAGATAATGTGTCAGAAGAAATACATGTAAATAAAGAAGTTAAAAGCAGTGAAAAGGTATATTTGGATTCCAAACATAAAGAATACAATTGTTCTGAAAGCTTAGATACTAATTCCAAAGACCGAAAATGCGATGAAGAATGTAATGAAGAAACGGCTGATGAAGATTGCATGTCTGTATCAGGTTTTAGTTATTCAGACACCCGTAGTGTTTGCAGCACAATACCACCTTCAGCTGTGAAAGCACAAGTTAAAAAGATGTTGGAACGTAGAGAGAAAAAATTAGAACATCGCCGAATAATAGTAAAGGGAGAAGCTAGTGCCACCACCAGACGTCGAAGAGACAATAAGGAAACAATCAGAGAAAGTAGTGGTGTGTGGGGTTGGGAATGACTTCTAAATATAGAAGGGCATTTTTTTCACATAACTGCTATCCATGATGGTTATTTATGTAATATAAATGGAAATGTTCAATTTTTTATTTATCGTGTGGAAATAATCTGAAAGATTTTTATTATTGTCATTTTGTTAAATAAATTTGATTGTATGATACTGTTACTTTCATTCTAAATAAACCATTGGTTCTAACTTTGCTCTTGACATGTATGCAGATACTTAGCATTGTTGTTCTCCATTCATTGACATCTTCCACCATTTAAATCTATTTTCATCTCAACTACCTTGCTTTTCCACCAGAATGTTTAATTAGAACTTTGAACATGCTTTGCATGTCTTTTCTTAATATGTATGTCAACTGAACTATTCTGAAAAACTTCAATGAAGGGCTGATAAGACATTTCAAGATAGGAAAATCAGCTTCGTTAATTGAAAGGTTCTACTGACTAAAAATAAACTTAAATTTTTAAAATATACAATAAGTAGAGGTAATAATATAATAACAAAGTATTAGACAATAGAAATCATACAAATTTACAATGAAAATATCAAAAAATAATGTCTACATTAATAACAACTTATGTATTTCATGTATTGTAGTTAAATTATTTCTTTTTATATTTAAATACAATAGTATCGCATTGAAATTCGCATAATCTATATGGGCTAATTTCAGTTACATAATTTTTTCCATTAAGTTTGCAACTTTGTTTTCATTTGCTTTCTTTACTTTAAAAGTTTTTATACAGCATTATAGCTTTTCAACATGGGGCTTTTTTTTTTGTCAAGGAATAGGAAGAATTTGCATTGTCTCGGCATGTTGCAGTGATACATTTCTTCATTTTGGGTGAAGTGTATACTGGTGTTCTTTCCATTAGTAATATTATTGTATAAGTATTCAATGCTATTACAGTTATGTTATTTTTTTTTTGTAGTGATTTCTATGAGTCTGGGTTGCAAATTGAAAATGTGTCAAATAGCCCTAATGAAAAGTCATTATTCTGTCCATATTTCCTTCACCTATACCTCCTCAAATTTCAATTTCATATTGCAGGTGTGGGTGGGTTATTTCATAGTTCACTTGCATAAGCAACTTAGGTGTCATATATTTTCAACAACAACAAAAGTCAGTAAAAAGGTGTTGGAACCTACTTTGTCAAATATTTCTTCTATTTTTCTACTTAAGGTTAAACCTTGATCTATGCATGTACCAAGAAATTTCTGGCATTCTACTAGTTGGACATTCTAAATGTTAACTTTGACATCAATATTGATATTAAAGTATTGTTTGTGATATTTGAAATGAATTATTTGTGTTTTACTTACATTCAAGCTGAAATTATTATTGCTTAGAAATTGTGTATTTTGTTCTAGTGCATCCATTTATTTTCGCTTCAATTTTTAGGATCTTCATTGCAGCTGATAAGTGTAGTGTCATTTGCAAATAATAGGAATAGGAGTGGTCCAAATACTGATCACAGTGGTACACCTGACGTAACTGTTTGAGAAGTTTGATTGAAATTTATCAATAGTTTCTTTAGATTCTCAGTATATTTTCTACATCTTATTCATATTTATAGAAGTCATATAATTCATTTTTTTGTAATTCAGAGATATTTTGTCTAGATGGATTGAAAAGTTTGTTACTTGCCTAAAGTTTGCCGTTGATTGATACTTTTAGAAATTGGAGATCATATTTGAGTTTTGGCACAGACAGTTTTCAGATAATTATTTTTTTATTATGCCATGTTAAAGAATTGAATGTAGTATTGAATGCAATGAATTAAGTATATTGGTGATGAATAAATGTTTAAAAAGATAATAATTGCAGAGCATTTTGTTGAGGAGGGAACATTTCTTCAGTCTATGGTAGACTAGAGTAAACCTGGACCTAGAATTATGTGTAAGGGATATCAATAATTTGGTCATTCATTAGCAAATTTTATATACTACATATATCTTGTTTTTCTAGGAATGTTTTAATTCTGGCCTTTGGATATTGGTCCTTAGCTTGTTAATGGCGATGTATTAAAATCAGCTGGAGCGCAAGGGGTGGATATTACCTCCTGTGCCTGGAGGTCACGCAAACCCCAACTACAAAGGTCAGCATCTACTCGACAGGTAATTATTACCGAGAAAGACGAGACGATTTTAATATCATGGCGATCGTCCTCGCAAGACTACGCAGTGGGTTCTGGTGCCGGGCCAACTGAACCCTGCAAGAGCACACTAATTTTTTGTCTCATAATCTGCATACTGGGGTCTCACGGACCCCAAATATTTTTGTTACAAAAGATTTCGAAACGTATGTATGATTCAAACGTGTTTTATTGGGTTAAAGTAAACTTTAGGCTTATATTTTTTTAACGTATAACCTTTTTTCAGATTGTAGCAGGATGATTATTAAAGTAATACACAAACACGTTGAATCAGGTCACATAACAACGCACAGGAAACGAAAATTTTATGATTTCCCATTTTCACGTTGGATAAGCATAATAGGAAGAATACTGTAAAACGGGATAAAGTGGATATAAATTTGATACTTTTTTAAAAAATAGGAAAATAATAATATAATTTAATATTCAGGCCTATCAATTACTCTTCTCACTCTAGCACGTTGGAGTTTCATTCATAAATTGAAAACCAGAATACGCTACCGAAATATGGATTCGTGACTCGATTTCCTGTCACATGCGTTATTAAGAACTTAAGAAAACGATTGTTATAATAATTAAATTAATATAATTTATAATTAAAAATATTAAAATAATTAATTAAAATAATAAAATAATTTGATACATAAAAAAAAAAATAGGAAAATAATAATTAAAGAGAATGTCCAAAACTGGAATACAAAAGAAACAAAAGCCGATTCAAAGCTATTTTTTATTATCGATTTCGTAAGAGGTGGGCGTTACGTAGGCGATCATGGTTTGGATTCAATACCGTGAAGTAGTCCGACAATTTTTCTTCCATAACAATCGTTTTCTTAAGTTCTTAATAACGCATGTGACAGGAAATCGAGTCACGAATCCATATTTCGGCAGCGAATTCTGGTTTTCAATTTATGAATGAAACTCCAACGTGGAGAAGAGTCGTAATTCACTTGCTAGAGTGAGAATGGCCTGAATTGATAGGCCTGAAAATGCGAAACAAATTATATGGAAATCTCAACGACGAACGAAGCTCAAAAATTCCGCAATTATAATGCTTACCCTATTTAATTAGTTTCAATTGACAACTATTTGCCGGTGGTTTTACGTGAGTAGCTCCAGCAGACTTCATTTCAGTGGGGTGCATGTTTTTTGTTCGGGAGATGGCAGTGATCTTTCCACGCTGGTCGGCAAGCGGTGTTTTCCCCAACCAGGTATCTCCCACCAGCAGGGCACCGCCCCAGCCGCGACAAGATCTAAGCTCCCGACCGGTCTTCCGGCATGTGTAGTGCGTGTAAGTGTGTGTGTAAATAAGGGGTGAGGATAGGACAAGGAAGAGGAAGGAAATATCACGCGCGGTCCGTGACAGCGGGTGTGTAGGGTACTGCTCCGGCATTCGCCTGGCATTGAAGGGAGAAACCAAGGAAAACTACCGATCAGACTAGCCGGTCACTAGAATTCTTCTCCAGGCAGCGACTGCATTCGACCCAGCTATCTAGCCAGTGTCGAAAATCCTGTCTTTATCAGGACTCGAACCTAGGACCTCCCGGCAGTGCAGTGACACCAGTTGATGCCCTGAGACACCTCTCTCGGAAATCTGTCTCCCTGCAAGGAGATAGTTTCTAATTTCTTTGCTGCGCTGCCTGGAGCTCTACCGGCCGGGGCTGAGGAAGCACGGTGGGAAGCGTAATGAGGCAAGGCCGGCGCGGGGCAGTTCTTGCCGGGAGGCGGCCGGCAGCCGGCGCGGTGGGTGGACATGGTGGTTGGCTGGCGTGGGAACGAGCGCGCCCCTGCCTTGCCTTGACACCAGAGCCATTCCGAAGTATTTAGGCGCTCATGGCAAGCGTAGAATTTGCGCCCGTTAAGATACTTCAAATTGGGATTGTTATTTGTTTCAGCTGCTATAGTCTAAATAGCTCCTTGTGGTGAGCGCCCATGGCACGTGCCATGTTTGTCATACCGTAATACGCCTCTGCTTGACACACCCCGTCTCGGTGACAGCCTGACACCACTTTCGGGGTCGCTATCTCCTTTTTTCTGCCGCATGCCGGAGACCGTGGTTTCGAAGGCACACGCTGGAATTTTCATTTTACGTTTTCAGTTTACAGTAATTTGACATGTTTTTAGGATTGTGTGTATTGCTGTGCCGAGATAACGCGTGGTGTGATGACGGTAAACCGAACATGCCCTCCCCTGTTTCGAAAACTATATGAACTTTTTCAGTTATTAAGCTGATAAGAAATAAGAACAGATATAGAACCTTGATGACATTTATTTCATAAATTGAATCCTAACTTGATTCGTTTACTACTCGTTTCAAGCCGGTCTGTGCTTATGCTTTAACCAATTCTATTTGTGGGACCTAGTTGACGCCATCTAGATGGCTGAACATTGCATGTCAGCTAAACCGTAACAGTTCAATAGAAAAGTCTAATTTGTAATAACTAATACTAGTCGTAGATAAAGTACTGAATGAAGCTGGATTCAATTCAGGGTATTAATACATTCAAATGAAGTTTACGATACTCGCTCGTCCCTCACACTTATAGTAATGTAATTTCACGCTCATCACTACAGAATCTTTTCATAATATACAATTGTTTTCCAGAACTTCTGTCCGTCCATCCATCTGCCTATGAAAACACTAGAGCCTAAGCCATACACAGGATTTTTCTCAAATTGGAAATCTCCCGATCCACCTGTCCAAGATTTTGGAAATATGGAACATTTGGAACATATGGAAGATTTGGAAATATGAAACATTATATTTTTAGGGGTACGTTGCATAAAACCCCGACATTTCCAATATTTTTGCAAAAATGACTCAATTTTTATTTTCTCGCTCTTACGTTGCAAGAAGAGAAAGCAATGTAATCGTGCGCCGGAAAACAGTGACTCTTCGACAGAAAGACAGTTATTGCTGGGCCCTGGTAACAACCACCATTTTAAACTTTTGAAATTTTCGAAAATCCATAGATAACCGTGAAAATCTGACCCATGCGAGCTTTGAAACTTTGATAACGAGGGTTTCACCTCATTATCACAAGCAATTTAAAAAAACGTGTGGCAATTTTTATGGAAATTTTTAAAGCGTTTTAAGAGCTTCGTGTATAAAAACAACCAAAAATTGAAAGAAATCTTTTCAAACTCAAAGTCAGGGCTTTCAGTCCGACCAGATCGATCGGAAAATATTCATTTTAAAAAATCTCTGCAAATTGTTTAGGTGCTAGTGTTGGTCTTAGATGGTTGGAATGACGAAGGGGCGACCAGATATTTCGAAAAATTAGTGGCACCACGAATTTTTAAAAAAAGTCCGTCCATAGGTTGCCAGTTCGACCGTCTATGACCAATACTCTCCGTCCGTCCACTCCCTGTCCATCCCCTGTTTGTCCGTCTGTATATGTCTATCCGTCTGTCCATCTATTCTTCTTTCGTGGCGAACACTAGCCCATAGACTATAAATAAAGACAATTATAAAAGAAATATTTTCAAATAATTGCTCCAAATTTTTTCTTGAACCTTTTTGTAGAGAT